CTTAGAGTTGAGGAGCTCTTCGAGTCGAGCCTTGACGTCGTGTCCGCCCTTGGGTCTCATGAGGAGGTAGATGGTGGCCACTTGTGGGCACGACCTGAGCAGCTTCTCCACCAGCACCTTGCCCATGAAGCCCGTCGCTCCCGTGATCAGTACACACCGATCATGGAAGAAGTCCGCTACGGCACTTCCACTCATCTTTACAAGAGGCTTTACAACCCCAACTATACAACTACACTTCACTATAAAACTACGCTCGTAGTCTCCGGGAAATGGCAGTCACCCTCAGCTCCTCAGGTCATGTATGGAGGTGAGGTAGTTGTTCTGCTTCACTTTCCTTCACTGGGGATCTGGTTCTCAGAAATGTCTTTGTGCCACTTTATCCTTTACTTTCAAACACCTTTAAGTTGTGGAGGTGATAGTCACAGCGTTTACTTGGTAGTGCTGAGCGTTGTTACCATCACAGCAAACACCCGGCGGGGTTCCTTAGTCATGCCAACACTTCAATGTTGAAGAAAGCAACACAACTCAAATGTGACCTGTTGTTCTTCGTGAACAAAGACACCGTCACTGTCGCAAGCCCGCCACAGATAACACAGATAACACTTCTCAATACCAACGGGTATTAGTCAAGATTTGATCACAAGTTCGTGTAACGAGAGTGGAATAGATATTGAGTAAGTTGGTAGGGCGTGAGGTGGGAAGAGAGGGAGCGAGAGTGGACCGTGTGAGGCCGAGTTGATGTACTCATGTGACCACAGTGAGGAGAGGGGGAGGCGGGTGCTTGCTTGCCTCTCGCTAGTCAAAGGTAGACTGTGCCGACCCAACCTTCACGGCTCAAACAATCTCTCGCCTCCACTTCGAAAAGAGAAAGTTCACAGTAAACAACAGGAGGGAAAAGGAGCAGGAGGAAGAGGAAAATGAGGTGGGGATGAGGAGTAGTCGGAAGACACGATATATTCTGGTGCAGGTGTTGGCTGTGACCTTGTATGAGCCACGACTGTCACCTCTTGTGGTCTAGGAGATGTTACCTGCTCTCCTTCCTGCCTTCTCCGACTACCACCTGTGTTGGCTTCACAGGTGATCCCTTTGCTGTCTTCAGACGTGTTCCCTTTGTTGGCGGTGTAGGCTTGCTACTCAGGTGCTCTGGAGGTGTGGCTCTTCAGCAGTGTCACCATCTACTGTGGTCGTGGAATGTACTGTCTTCAAGTTGTCAGCTATTTCGTAAAATTTGCGCATGCGACGAAAAAAATATTTCGTAAAATTTGAGGGTTTGAGAAAGTTTGTGCGGTGTTGATCCGTGGACAATGACTTGCCCTGCTGGCGTCTGCGAGGTGGCCGTCTTGTGCCCAGACTTTGTGTTATATGATCCTTGGATCTTGACCTTTTCTCGTCAACTTTGGGGTCATGATCGTGGCTAGTTGTGTGACAGTCGTCGTCCAAGGTGCCGCCTATAACCTCCACTGTCACGCCTCCATTGCCCCTGAAGAAAAAAACATTATATAAACATCAGCATTTAATAAAGAAAGGAAAAAAGCTTGCAGGCAAGAGTAATTTAAAGTGCCAACTAAACTGTTGGCCGTTAGCACTTGACCATTGTCTTCCAGACCACCACCAGCTTTCCCAAAACCCGGTGATTAACACCCCGCTCAGTGCCTGGTCCTGAGAGTGTCCAGTAGACCAGCGTCTCCTCCGCATCACTTAGTAATCCAAGGACTGCCTCTGTAAGCGTCTCTTACGGTAATATTTGTACTTTCCCTTTCACAGAGAGTGCACACGCACGCCCCTACCCCCCACCACCACCCACTTACCTCACACTCTCCCAACACCGCCAGTCATGCTCAACATGCACAAGAACAATTACCTCACCACTTAAACACTTCCTCCTCAATAACAATACAAAAAACCAGCACCTAGATAGATTAATACAAGATGCTAGCCACAATAGCCTGGGAAGTAACATGTCGTACACTTAGATCGTTGGAGATGCGAACTCGGGTCTCAAATGTACGAGTCACTTTAGCCAGGGGTACTGTGTTGAGTCTTTAAACCTTCCGTGGACCGCCTCTATGGTGGCTATCAGGCACGCTTGTCCAGTGTGGGTATTATATATGGCTGGGTGGTGACAGTGTGGGTATTATATATGGCTGGGTGGTGACAGTGTGGGTATTATATATGGCTGGCTGGTGACAGTGTGGGTATTATATATGGCTGGGTGGTGACAGTGTGGGTATTATATATGGCTGGCTGGTGACAGTGTGGGTATTATATATGGCTGGGTGGTGACAGTGTGGGTATTATATATGGCTGGGTGGACAGTGTGGGTATTATATGTGGGTATGTATATATGGCTGGGTGGTGACAGTGTGGGTATTATATATGGCTGGGTGGTGACAGTGTGGGTATTATATATGGCTGGGTGGTGACAGTGTGGGTATTATATATGGCTGGGTGGTGACAGTGTGGGTATTATATATGCTGGCTGGTGACAGTGTGGGTATTATATATGGCTGGGTGGTGACAGTGTGGGTATTATATATGGCTGGGTGGTGACAGTGTGGGTATTATATATGGCTGGCTGGTAACAGTGTGGGTATTATATATGGCTGGCTGGTGACAGTGTGGGTATTATATATGGCTGGGTAGTGACAGTGTGGGTATTATATATGGCTGGCTGGTGACAGTGTGGGTATTATATATGGCTGGGTGGTGACAGTGTGGGTATTATATATGGCTGGGTAGTGATAGTGTGGGTATTATATATGCTGGCTGGTGACAGTGTGGGTATTATATATGGCTGGGTGGTGACAGTGTGGGTATTATATATGGCTGGTGACAGTGTGGGTATTATATATGGCTGGCTGGTGACAGTGTGGGTATTATATATGGCTGGATGGTGACAGTGTGGGTATTATATATGGCTGGGTGGTGACAGTGTGGGTATTATATATGGCTGGGTAGTGACAGTGTGGGTATTATATATGCTGGCTGGTGACAGTGTGGGTATTATATATGGCTGGGTGGTGACAGTGTGGGTATTATATATGCTGGCTGGTGACAGTGTGGGTATTATATATGGCTGGGTGGTGACAGTGCGGGTATTATATATGCTGGCTGGTGACAGTGTGGGTATTATATATGGCTGGCTACACTGTGGGTATTATATATGGCTGGGTAGTGACAGTGTGGGTATTATATATGGCTGGCTGGTGACAGTGTGGGTATTATATATGGCTGGCTGGTGACAGTGTGGGTATTATATATGGCTGGGTGGTGACACTGTGGGTATATATATGGCTGGGTAGTGACAGTGTGGGTATTATATATGGCTGGCTGGTGACAGTGTGGGTATTATATATGGCTGGGTGGTGACAGTGTGGGTATTATATATGCTGGCTGGTGACAGTGTGAGTATTATATATGGCTGGGTGGTGACAGTGTAGGTATTATATATGCTGGCTGGTGACAGTGTGGGTATTATATATGGCTGGGTGGTGACAGTGTGGGTATTATATATGCTGGGTGGTGACACTGTGGATATTATATATGGCTGGGTGGTGACAGTGTGGGTATTATATATGCTGGGTGGTGACACTGTGGGTATTATATATGGCTGGCTGGTGACACTGTGGGTATTATATATGGCTGGGTAGTGACAGTGTGGGTATTATATATGGCTGGGTAGTGACAGTGTGGGTATTATATATGGCTGGGTAGTGACAGTGTGGGTATTATATATGGCTGGGTAGTGACAGTGTGGGTATTATATATGGCTGGGTAGTGACAGTGTGGGTATTATATATGGCTGGGTAGTGACAGTGTGGGTATTATATATGGCTGGGTAGTGACAGTGTGGGTATTATATATGGCTGGGTGGTGACACTGTGGGTATTATATATGGCTGGGTAGTGACAGTGTGGGTATTATATATGCTGGCTGGTGACACTGTGGGTATTATATATGGCTGGGTGGTGACACTGTGGGTATTATATATGGCTGGGTAGTGACAGTGTGGGTATTATATATGGCTGGGTGGTGACACTGTGGGTATTATATATGGCTGGGTAGTGACAGTGTGGGTATTATATATGGCTGGGTAGTGACAGTGTGGGTATTATATATGGCTGGGTAGTGAAAGTGTGGGTATTATATATGGCTGGGTAGTGACAGTGTGGGTATTATATATGGCTGGGTGGTGACAGTGTGGGTATTATATATGCTGGGTGGTGACACTGTGGGTATTATATATGGCTGGGTGGTGACAGTGTGGGTATTATATATGCTGGGTGGTGACACTGTGGGTATTATATATGGCTGGCTGGTGACACTGTGGGTATTATATATGGCTGGGTGGTGACATTGTGGGTATTATATATGGCTGGGTGGTGACAGTGTGGGTATTATATATGGCTGGGTAGTGACATTGTGGGTATTATATATGGCTGGGTAGTGACAGTGTGGGTATTATATATGGCTGGGTGGTGACAGTGTGGGTATTATATATGGCTGGCTGGTGACAGTGTGGGTATTATATATGGCTGGGTAGTGACATTGTGGGTATTATATATGGCTGGGTAGTGACACTGTGGGTATTATATATGGCTGGGTAGTGACAGTGTGGGTATTATATATGGCTGGGTAGTGACAGTGTGGGTATTATATATGGCTGGGTAGTGACAGTGTGGGTATTATATATGGCTGGGTAGTGACAGTGTGGGTATTATATATGGCTGGGTAGTGACAGTGTGGGTATTATATATGCTGGCTGGTGATAGTGTGGGTATTATATATGGCTGGGTGGTGACAGTGTGGGTATTATATATGGCTGGGTAGTGACAGTGTGGGTATTATATATGGCTGGCTGGTGACAGTGTGGGTATTATATATGGCTGGGTGGTGACAGTGTGGGTATTATATATGGCTGGATGGTGACAGTGTGGGTATTATATATGGCTGGGTGGTGACAGTGTGGGTATTATATATGGCTGGGTGGTGACAGTGTGGGTATTATATATGGCTGGGTAGTGACAGTGTGGGTATTATATATGGCTGGGTAGTGACAGTGTGGGTATTATATATGGCTGGGTAGTGACAGTGTGGGTATTATATATGGCTGGGTAGTGACAGTGTGGGTATTGGGTATGGTTGGTGACAGTGTGGGTATTATATATGGCTGGGTAGTGACAGTGTGGGTATTGGGTATGGTTGGTGACACTGTGGTTGTCGGGTATGAGGCCTGGCCCAGGTGCACAGTATGGGGTGCCAGGTGGAGTTGGTGGAGTTGGTGGTGGTGGTGGTGTGGTGGAGCAGGAGAAGCAGAGGTAGTGGAGACGACAGACAATAGCCGCCACACTCCCATACACCACCACCACCACCACTACTCCAATCCATGAAGCAGAGGTACACAAGGCGGAGGCCAGCTCCACTATACGCCCAATATCACGGCACGTAAGACAACAATGTATTATTCATGCCATCACTTACACAAACTTTCTACCTGTTCATGGCCACTCGTCAGTATGGGAGAACACATTAACTTTCCCTGGCCTACACGGCGCCACACTACCAACGGACACCATAGGCCTACACGGCGCCACACTACCAACGGACACCATAGGCCTACACGGCGCCACACTACCAACGGACATCATAGGCCTACACGGCGCCACACTACCAACGGACACCATAGGCCTACACGGCGCCACACTACCAACGGACACCATAGGCCTACACGGCGCCACACTACCAACGGACACCATAGGCCTACACGGCGCCACACTACCAACGGACATCATAGGCCTACACGGCGCCACACTACCAACGGACATCATAGGCCTACACGGCGCCACACTACCAACGGACATCATAGGCCTACACGGCGCCACACTACCAACGGACACCATAGGCCTACACGGCGCCACACTACCAACGGACATCATAGGCCTACACGGCGCCACACTACCAACGGACACCATAGGCCTACACGGCGCCACACTACCAACGGACACCATAGGCCTACACGGCGCCACACTACCAACGGACATCATAGGCCTACACGGCGCCGCACTACCAACGGACACCATAGGCCTACACGGCGCCACACTACCAACGGACATCATAGGCCTACACGGCGCCACACTACCAACGGACATCATAGGCCTACACGGCGCCGCACTACCAACGGACATCATAGGCCTACACGGCGCCACACTACCAACGGACATCATAGGCCTACACGGCGCCGCACTACCAACGGACATCATAGGCCTACACGGCGCCACACTACCAACGGACATCATAGGCCTACACGGCGCCACACTACCAACGGACATCATAGGCCTACACGGCGCCGCACTACCAACGGACATCATAGGCCTACACGGCGCCACACTACCAACGGACACCATAGGCCTACACGGCGCCACACTACCAACGGACATCATAAAGCTCTGACACGTAATAAGCACAATATTGATGGCTAAACATAAAGACACTGTTGGTACTATTGCACACATTTTACGCGTACTAGTGGCTGTACAAGAATGTAACAACTCTTGTATATATCTCAACAAAAAAATTGATCCTCTCTCTGATCTCTGTGAGAGAGGTGAGCCTACCTCCGTCCCAGAGAGGATGGGAGGGGTGAGCCTACCACCGTCCCAGAGAGGATGGGAGGGGTGAGCCTACCACCGTCCCAGAGAGGATGGGAGGGGTGAGCCTACCACCGTCCCAGAGAGGATGGGAGGGGTGAGCCTACCACCGTCCCAGAGAGGATGGGAGGGGTGAGCCTACCACCGTCCCAGAGAGGATGGGAGAGGTGAGCCTACCACCGTCCCAGAGAGGATGGGAGGGGTGAGCCTACCACCGTCCCAGAGAGGATGGGAGAGGTGAGCCTACCACCGTCCCAGAGAGGATGGGAGGGGTGAGCCTACCACCGTCCCAGAGAGGATGGGAGAGGTGAGCCTACCACCGTCCCAGAGAGGATGGGAGGGGTGAGCCTACCACCGTCCCAGAGAGGATGGGAGGGGTGAGCCTACCACCGTCCCAGAGAGGATGGGAGGGGTGAGCCTACCACCGTCCCAGAGAGGATGGGAGGGGTGAGCCTACCACCGTCCCAGAGAGGATGGGAGAGGTGAGCCTACCACCGTCCCAGAGAGGATGGGAGAGGTGAGCCTACCACCGTCCCAGAGAGGATGGGAGTGGTGAGCCTACCACCGTCCCAGAGAGGATGGGAGAGGTGAGCCTACCACCGTCCCAGAGAGGATGGGAGGGGTGAGCCTACCACCGTCCCAGAGAGGATGGGACGGGTGAGCCTACCACCGTCCCAGAGAGGATGGGACGGGTGAGCCTACCACCGTCCCAGAGAGGATGGGACGGGTGAGCCTACCACCGTCCTAGAGAGGATGGGACGGGTGAGCCTACCACCGTCCCAGAGAGGATGGGAGGGGTGAGCCTACCACCGTCCCAGAGAGGATGGGAGGGGTGAGCCTACCACCGTCCCAGAGAGGATGGGACGGGTGAGCCTACCACCGTCCTAGAGAGGATGGGACGGGTGAGCCTACCACCGTCCCAGAGAGGATGGGAGGGGTGAGCCTACCACCGTCCCAGAGAGGATGGGAGGGGTGAGCCTACCACCGTCCCAGAGAGGATGGGAGGGGTGAGCCTACCACCGTCCCAGAGAGGATGGGAGGGGTGAGCCTACCACCGTCCCAGAGAGGATGGGAGGGGTGAGCCTACCACCGTCCCAGAGAGGATGGGAGGGGTGAGCCTACCACCGTCCCAGAGAGGATGGGACGGGTGAGCCTACCACCGTCCCAGAGAGGATGGGAGAGGTGAGCCTACCACCGTCCCAGAGAGGATGGGAGAGGTGAGCCTACCACCGTCCCAGAGAGGATGGGAGTGGTGAGCCTACCACCGTCCCAGAGAGGATGGGAGAGGTGAGCCTACCACCGTCCCAGAGAGGATGGGAGGGGTGAGCCTACCACCGTCCCAGAGAGGATGGGACGGGTGAGCCTACCACCGTCCCAGAGAGGATGGGAGGGGTGAGCCTACCACCGTCCCAGAGAGGATGGGAGGGGTGAGCCTACCACCGTCCCAGAGAGGATGGGAGGGGTGAGCCTACCACCGTCCCAGAGAGGATGGGACGGGTGAGCCTACCACCGTCCCAGAGAGGATGGGAGAGGTGAGCCTACCACCGTCCCAGAGAGGATGGGAGAGGTGAGCCTACCACCGTCCCAGAGAGGATGGGAGTGGTGAGCCTACCACCGTCCCAGAGAGGATGGGAGAGGTGAGCCTACCACCGTCCCAGAGAGGATGGGAGGGGTGAGCCTACCACCGTCCCAGAGAGGATGGGAGGGGTGAGCCTACCACCGTCCCAGAGAGGATGGGAGGGGTGAGCCTACCACCGTCCCAGAGAGGATGGGAGGGGTGAGCCTACCACCGTCCCAGAGAGGATGGGAGGGGTGAGCCTACCACCGTCCCAGAGAGGATGGGACGGGTGAGCCTACCACCGTCCCAGAGAGGATGGGAGAGGTGAGCCTACCACCGTCCCAGAGAGGATGGGAGAGGTGAGCCTACCACCGTCCCAGAGAGGATGGGAGTGGTGAGCCTACCACCGTCCCAGAGAGGATGGGAGGGGTGAGCCTACCACCGTCCCAGAGAGGATGGGAGTGGTGAGCCTACCACCGTCCCAGAGAGGATGGGAGGGGTGAGCCTACCACCGTCCCAGAGAGGATGGGAGTGGTGAGCCTACCACCGTCCCAGAGAGGATGGGAGGGGTGAGCCTACCACCGTCCCAGAGAGGATGGGAGGGGTGAGCCTACCACCGTCCCAGAGAGGACAGCAGGATGGATATAGTAGAGGGCCCCCATCATCCTGGGGAGGATGGCTGCATCCTTCAACACACACATAAGAAGCAACATATATAATACATATGTTGTATAACTAAATATCTGGAACCATTTCCATCTCTCAAGAAGGAACTATAACTATTAAAACTATATCAATTGTGAACATTATTTGAGTGGTTGGGGAGCCGACCTGAAGACGCAATGCCAGGCGATATCATATGTCAACCAATCCTCAGACGGAGTCTATTCCATCCAGCGGTCGACCCCAAAGACGCATTCATAATTTTTAACATGCTGTTGATTCAAGACAGGAATTTTCTCAAAAATAAATTAATCTTTTAATATATTAACATATTGTGCATAATTAGGCACTGGTTAGGTTAGGTGTTTAGGTTCTGTTGGCGATTATTTGTATTTGTAGTACGTGAGTGAAGTAAGTAAGTAATTATCAAAAGAAGGCACCAAACCGGGAAGGCTATGTAGCACCATCAAATACGCAAAATAATCAGAGGGCGCTAAATATCACCAAGGATGCCAATACGAGAACAAAAACGCATAAGGCGAACGATATCAAAAGTATCCGAGTCACCAAGAATTCTATCGAGGGACAGGTGACCGCGAGGGGCGGTCGGAAAGCAAGACACACGTTCGTCCTGGAAGTCAGGACATTCAAGAAGGACATGCACGACCGTAAGAGGGACAATGCAACTAGGACAATAAGGAGCAGGGCGGCGCTCCATCAAGTGACCATGGGTTAAGCGAGTATGGCCAATACGCAACCTCGCCAGAGCTGTTTCCCACCGCCGGTTACGGTGGAAGGAGGACTGCCACGAGGAAACACAACATTTAAGAGTACGTAGCCTGTTACCAGTAACAGACAACCAAGAAGCCTGCCAACGGGTAAGGACTGAGGAATGGATAACCGGGTAAAAGTCGGAATACGGAATGCCTTTACGAGAGATGGGACAAGAGCGGACAGCTTCCTTGGCGGCAGCATCCGCACGTTCATTTAAAGACACACCAATATGGCTGGGAACCCAACAAAACTCAACCGACTTAAATTTACTGTGAACGAGAAACAGCCAATGCTGGATCTCGACAACTACTGGATGAACCGGATTAAAGGACCCGAGAGCCATGAGGGCACTACGAGAGTCAACAACAACTACAAAGGAAGATTGACAACGAGAAAGCAGGAGACGAAGAGCATAGAGAATAGCATAAAGTTCCGGTACGTGAGTGAAGCATTTACAGTGTTGTGGTTCGAATAAAATTCGTCAGTGAAGCTTTTGTTCCGGAAGTGTTCGAACGTCATCAGTTGTGAGTCGTGTGTAAACCGTTTTTCCCTCATAAACTGGGGGGTTGGCGGGTGCATGGAATGGACCTTTGTTTATGAGGTCGGGCTGTATATTTCATTGACTTGGACCAACGCAGATGCGAACGAGGGCCTCAAAATACGAGAGTGTTGTCTGGGATAATCCGGGTGAACGATAACGTCACTACCCAGGGTGTCGAGGAGAGCGTCTTGATATTACCATATAGTGCTCAACCTCCTCTCAGCTCCACCATCACCGGCTCCGGAAACCTGTTAACACCCTGGGGTTACCCGGGCGCTAATGTGACCCATGTGTGGAGCAGCGTCACCATGGTGACCCATGTGTGGAGCGGCGTCACCATGGTGACCCATGTGTGGAGCAGCGTCACCATGGTGACCCATGTGTGGAGCAGCGTCACCATGGTGACCCATGTGTGGAGCAGCGTCACCATGGTGACCCATGTGTGGAGCAGCGTCACCATGGTGACCCATGTGTGGAGCAGCGTCACCATGGTGACCCATGTGTGGAGCAGCGTCACCATGGTGACCCAGGTGTGGAGCAGCGTCACCATGGTGACCCAGGTGTGGAGCAGCGTCACCATGGTGACCCATGTGTGGAGCAGCGTCACCATGGTGACCCAGGTGTGGAGCAGCGTCACCATGGTAACCGGGGGTATACCAACACGTGTATCTCATCTAATCAACAATGTAATGGCTGCTGGGTATACACATATCCGCTGGGACAATGGGTAATCCCAGCCATACGAACACAGCTAGGGCCACTGTGCCAACTGTGCCACAATGGTGACGGTGAAGAAGTACCGGGGACCTGGTCACAGTTACTCTAGTCGCTTTCACCGTGGAAGGTCTCCTACGCTGCCCCGGGGCTTATCCTCCTAGACAACCTCCCCGCCTCTCCCAACATGCAACTCACAACAGTTTTCTAATTCCCGGGGATCTCTGTATTGCTGGGTGAACAGAGGCATAATGTGAAATGAAACGTGCCCAAGTGTTTCCGTCCTGGTACTGAACTAAAGACTGGGGACTGGGGGGACTAAACCCGGGTTCCTAGATTGCAAGTCGAATACGTAGACCACTGAGCACTTGGGTATAAACAGCTCCTGCCTTCGTTAGAGCAATAGACCTGCGGCCCTCTATAACCAGTATAAGAACTGTGTTATTAGTTCTAAAATAACCAACACAACACCCCATTAAAACACCCCAGACCCCACCATGTGACACACTGGGGGTGGTCACACCCCACCATGTGACACACTGGGGGTGGTGACACCCCACCATGTGACACACTGGGGGTGGTCACACCCCACCATGTGACACACTGGGGGTGGTCACACCCCACCATGTGACACACTGGGGGTGGTCACACCCCACCATGTGACACACTGGGGGTGGTGACACCCCACCATGTGACACACTGGGGGTGGTCACACCCCACCATGTGACACACTGGGGGGTGGTCACACCCCACCATGTGACACACTGGGGGTGGTCACACCCCACCATGTGACACACTGGGGGTGGTCACACCCCACCATGTGACAGACTGGGGGTGGTCACACCCCACCATGTGACACACTGGGGGTGGTCACACCCCACCATGTGACAGACTGGGGGTGTTCACACCCCACCATGTGACACACTGGGGGGTGGTCACACCCCACCATGTGACACACTGGGGGGTGGTCACACCCCACCATGTGACACACTGGGGGTGGTCACACCCCACCATGTGACACACTGGGGGGTGGTCACACCCCACCATGTGACACACTGGGGGGTGGTCACACCCCACCATGTGACACACTGGGGGTGGTCACACCCCACCATGTGACACACTGGGGGTGGTCACACCCCACCATGTGACACACTGGGGGTGGTCACACCCCACCATGTGACACACTGGGGGTGTTCACACCCCACCATGTGACACACTGGGGGGTGGTCACACCCCACCATGTGACACACTGGGGGGTGGTCACACCCCACCATGTGACACACTGGGGGTGGTCACACCCCACCATGTGCCACACTGGGGGGTGGTCACACCCCACCATGTGACACACTGGGGGGTGGTCACACCCCACCATGTGACACACTGGGGGGTGGTCACACCCCACCATGTGACACACTGGGGGTGGTCACACCCCACCATGTGACACACTGGGGGTGTTCACACCCCACCATGTGACACACTGGGGGGTGTTCACACCCCACCATGTGACACACTAGGGGGTGGTCACACCCCACCATGTGACACACTGGGGGTGGTCACACCCCACCATGTGACACACTGGGGGGTGGTCACACCCCACCATGTGACACACTGGGGGTGGTCACACCCCACCATGTGACACACTGGGGGTGGTCACACCCCACCATGTGACACACTGGGGGGTGGTCACACCCCACCATGTGACACACTGGGGGGTGGTCACACCCCACCATGTGACACACTGGGGGTGGTCACACCCCACCATGTGACACACTGGGGGTGGTCACACCCCACCATGTGACACACTGGGGGTGGTCACACCCCACCATGTGACACACTGGGGGTGTTCACACCCCACCATGTGACACACTGGGGGGTGTTCACACCCCACCATGTGACACACTGGGGGGTGGTCACACCCCACCATGTGACACACTGGGGGGTGGTCACACCCCACCATGTGACACACTGGGGGTGGTCACACCCCACCATGTGCCACACTGGGGGGTGGTCACACCCCACCATGTGACACACTGGGGGGTGGTCACACCCCACCATGTGACACACTGGGGGGTGGTCACACCCCACCATGTGACACACTGGGGGTGGTCACACCCCACCATGTGACACACTGGGGGTGTTCACACCCCACCATGTGACACACTGGGGGGTGGTCACACCCCACCATGTGACACACTGGGGGGTGGTCACACCCCACCATGTGACACACTGGGGGGTGGTCACACCCCACCATGTGACACACTGGGGGGTGGTCACACCCCACCATGTGACACACTGGGGGGTGGTCACACCCCACCATGTGACACACTGGGGGGTGGTCACACCCCACCATGTGACACACTGGGGGGGGTCACACCCCACCATGTGACACACTGGGGGGTGGTCACACCCCACCATGTGACACACTGGGGGTGGTCACACCCCACCATGTGACACACTGGGGGTGGTCACACCCCACCATGTGACACACTGGGGGTGATACCTGGTTGATACCTGGTTGATGGGGTTCTGGGAGTTCTTCTACTCCCCAAGCCCGGCCCGAGGCCAGGCTCGACTTGTGAGAGTTTGGTCCACCAGGCTGTTGCTTGGAGCGGCCCGCAGGGCCACGTACCCACCACAGCCCGGCTGATCCGGAACTTCTCTTAGAAAACCGTCCAGTTTTCTCTTGAAGATGTCCACGGTTGTTCCGGCAATATTTCTTATGCTCGCTGGGAGGACGTTGAACAACCGCGGACCCCTGATGTTTATACAGTGCTCTCTGATTGTGCCTATGACACCTCTGCTCTTCACAGGTTCAATCTTGCATTTTCTTCCATATCGTTCACTCCAGTACGTTGTTATTTTACTGTGTAGATTTGGGACCTGACCCTCCAGTATTTTCCAGGTGTATATTATTTGGTATCTCTCTCGTCTCATGGTGGGGTGGTCACACCCCACCATGTGACACACTGGGGGTGGTCACACCCCACCATGTGACACACTGGGGGTGGTCACACCCCACCATGTGACACACTGGGGGTGGTCACACCCCACCATGTGACACACTGGGGGTGGTCACACCCCACCATGTGACACACTGGGGGGTGGTCACACCCCACCATGTGACACACTGGGGGGTGGTCACACCCCACCATGTGACACACTGGGGGGTGGTCACACCCCACCATGTGACACACTGGGGGGTGGTCACACCCCACCATGTGACACACTGGGGGGTGGTCACACCCCACCATGTGACACACTGGGGGGTGGTCACACCCCACCATGTGACACACTGGGGGGTGGTCACACCGCACCATGTGACACACTGGGGGTGGTCACACCCCACCATGTGACACACTGGGGGTGGTCACACCCCACCATGTGACACACTGGGGGTGGTCACACCCCACCATGTGACACACTGGGGGTGGTCACACCCACCATGTGACACACTGGGGGTGGTCACACCCCACCATGTGACACACTGGGGGTGGTCACACCCCACCATGTGACACACTGGGGGTGGTCACACCCCACCATGTAAAAAACCGAATATATTACACAGAGAGTATAAGCACACTAACGTGAAACAGCAGAACTCAACCGCCGCAAGCACAACTAGGTGAATACACACATCAAATACCAGCCAACACACGGGGGAGTCATTATAGCACACGGGGGAGTCATTATAGCACACGGGGGAGTCATTATAACACACGGGGGAGTCATTATAACACATGGGGGAGTCATTATAGCACACGGGGGAGTCATTATAACACACGGGGAAGTCATTATAGCACACGAGGGAGTCATTATAGCACACGGGGGAGTCATTATAACACACGGGGGAGTCATTATAGCACACGGGGGAGTCATTATAACACACGGGGGAGTCATTATAACACACGGGGGAGTCATTATAGCACACGGGGGAGTCATTATAGCACACGGGGGAGTCATTATAACACACGGGGGAGTCATTATAACACACGGGGGAGTCATTATAACACACGGGGGAGTCATTATAGCACACGAGGGAGTCATTATAGCACACGGGGGAGTCATTATAGCACACGGGGGAGTCATTATAACACGGGGGAGTCATTATAGCACACGGGGGAGTCATTATAACACACGAGGGAGTCATTATAGCACACGGGGGAGTCATTATAGCACACGGGGGTCATTATAACACACGGGGGAGTCATTATAGCACACGGGGGAGTCATTATAACACACGGGGGAGTCATTATAGCACACGGGGGAGTCATTATAGCACACGGGGGAGTCATTATAACACACGGGGGAGTCATTATAGCACACGGGGGAGTCATTATAACACACGGGGGAGTCATTATAACACACGGGGGAGTCATTATAGCACACGGGGGAGTCATTATAGCACACGGGGGAGTCATTATAGCACACGGGGGAGTCATTATAACACACGGGGGAGTCATTATAGCACACGGGGAAGTCATTATAGCACACGGGGGAGTCATTATAACACACGGGGGAGTCATTATAGCACACGGGGGAGTCATTATAACACACGGGGGAGTCATTATAACACACAGGGGAGTCATTATAGCACACGGGGGTCATTATAGCACACGGGGGAGTCATTATAGCACACGGGGGAGTCATTATAACACACAGGGGAGTCATTATAGCACACGGGGGAGTCATTATAGCACACGGGGGTCATTATAACACACGGGGGAGTCATTATAGCACACGGGGGAGTCATTATAACACACGGGGGAGTCATTATAGCACACGGGGGAGTCATTATAACACACGGGGGAGTCATTGTAGCACACGGGGGAGTTATTATAACACACGGGGGAGTCATTATAACACACGGGGGAGTCATTATAGCACACGGGGGAGTCATTATAGCACACGGGGGAGTCATTATAGCACACGGGGGAGTCATTATAACACACGGGGGAGTCATTATAGCACACGGGGAAGTCATTATAGCACACGGGGGAGTCATTATAACACACGGGGGAGTCATTATAGCACACGGGGGAGTCATTATAACACACGGGGGAGTCATTATAGCACACGGGGGAGTCATTATAACACACGGGGGAGTCATTATAGCACACGGGGGAGTCATAA